TTCTCACCCTCTCTCCCCCCTCCCTCTCTCACCTTCACATCTCGTATTCCTCATCCTCCTAATTCCTGTTCCCCAATAAATATAGCTACTAGCCTACCAGGCTCCAGTTGTATACCTACACCTTACTACACCTCCGCCACACCATAAACAAACAGAAACCCACCCACACCACACCACCACCACCACCACCACCATGTTCTGGTTTTCTTCCCACCAACAACAGCAGCAACAGCAACAACAACCTCCTCTCCTCCCAACCCTCCCCACCTCGAAATCCAAAATCCGTAGAACCCTCAAAGCCCCCGGCCGCCCCATCGCCATTCGCAAAGACCACATTACCGACACCAAGACCCTCCTAATTGTGCGTCCACAAGGCGATGCCCAATCCGCCGTGGCATACAAAATCCAAGATGCCGACGGCATGACGCTCTACACCGCTACAGGGCGCAAGTTCAGCAACCGACCTTGTCGCGAGTTCCGCGATGCGTCGGGCCTCCCACTCTTCGAACTACACCGCAAGACTTCTTTCAAGAACAACTGGTCCGTCACCTTACCCGGCAGTAACCCAACCAGCCCGATAGCCAAAGGTGCTGTCCAGCGCTCATCCTTCAGTGCCGCCGGCTGGGGGAACTGCAATTTCACCATCACGTTCGACAATGTAGCTGCGGCGGATGGGAAGCAGCCTGAGGAGCGTACCCTGACATTGGAAGTGCAACGGCATGGAAATGTGCTGGCGCTGTTTGATATCGTGGATGGGGATCGCAAGATTGCCGAGGTGAAGGAGAGTATTCGCCATAATGAGAAATTGGCGCTTATGCCTGCGTCTCGCCTTGGGTATCGCCCTGTACTGGATGTGATTGTTACTCCCGGCGTGGATATGGCTTTGGTGAGTTCCTCTCTTGTTCTTTCCATAGAGTATATATACTGCATAATACCACGTACAGTATCTATACAGTCTACAGGATTATGTTCTAACTAACTGGGAACTTTCTAGATTGCAACGATTGCGGTCATTGCATCGGACACAGTGTTTGCTTCGAACTATTAATTGCGCGCATGTTTTTTCTTGGACTTTGGATATGTCGGAACGCCATTATGGTTACCATGAGATTATGAAACTGATGACTCTCTTTCTGTCTACTCTTCTTTTTTCTCCATTCGATTTTTCTCTTCTTTCTTTTTCTTTTATTGCTCTTGTTTTTCCTCATTCTATTGTGGTCTTTTTCATCGGTTGTGGGTACTTAGGTGGCTCGCTGGGCTGCATTGAACCGCGGTTGACGGATTCCAGGCATTTGGATGGCTTCCGGAGCTTCCCCAATGCTACCTTACTCTACCACTTCGTCAGTGGATCCATCCATGGGTTTACTGTGGTTCTACTTGCTTGGCTAATTCAATCCTGTCCGGAGAGGTCACGCGGGACGAGTCCTTCCAGCCTCGGGAGTCTTCGGGTCTTGTTTTGTTTACTTTTGTTTCTTTTTCTTATCTTTTCTTTTTTCTAAACTTGGAGTCGAGCTAAAAAATGTATATAGCTGCGATCGGTGAAAGTTATTGTCAAATCTAATGAGGGGTATTCTTAACAAGGGAGAAAAAAGAAGCAAATAATCAAAGATCATCATCCGTAGATCGTGTACCTTCACCGCAAGTGCAGCATCTTCAGAATATCATGGCGGCTGAAGAATGAGCGATTCCATTTACCGAAGGTATCTAGAAACACGTTAGTCCATCCCCGGGCGAGTAGGAATAACAGCAAGAAACACCTACACATCGGAATGCTCAAGGCACAGACTCCCATCTGAATGCTAGAGATGGCCAGGAAAGCCGGCCTGATGCCATTCAGCAGCAGCCAGTCATAAGCATAGAACGTCAACACAAAGCTGAACATGTTCTTGAACACCAGCATGCATGTAAAAGACTCGATGGCAATCTCGCCTGTTGGAGGAGTCAGCTTTGAACCATAATAGATCTCGCACCTGGCAGCTATACTTACGATGTGCATCGACAATGTACAGCGCACTCGCGACAGCGCCCATCACCATGCCTATAATAACCAGAGCGAAGAACACGTCCGCTACCAGCCATCCATATCGCGCGACATCCTCAGCGATGATACCAAACCCATACAGCCCGGCGCCGCAGAAGATCAATTGGAAGATCACGAGGAGGATGCGGAACTCCGGCTCGTACTTCCCTCGGTTGAGTTTAATCATGATGCGGTTCATCGAATCGGAGAGAAGGCCCGATAGGATCAGACCCAGTATGGAACCGATGAAGGCCCCCGTGTACAGGTACCCGGTTTGCACCTCGTTGAACCATAGGGGTGGGCCGAGGAATATGGCGGCTAGGACGACACCGATGAATACGGTCCACCCGATGATTACGCCCTGGATCAAGCATGCCTGGTATGATGGTTAAAACGTATGCTTGTGGCTTGATGAGGCTTTCTGCGGCATGGCTTACCCAAAGGATTGCGGGGTGGAAGAATAAGGGAAAGGGCCGTAAGAGGAGCTTGAAGAAGCTCTCGTCGGTTTTGCGTCCATTGAAGGGTTTGAGAGTTTGGAGGTAGGACACCTTGGCTGGTGTTTCTGACTCTCTCTTTCGGGGTAGCTCTTGTGAGGACGTAGGTTGGTGATGCTCGACTGCGGATGAGGTCTGCTTTTGATTGTCGGGCCCTGGAGTAGCCTCCGACGTTGTGATATCATTGAGCTGAACTTCCGAGGCGGAGCGATCGATGGCATATTCGAAGTCAGCGTTCAAGTAGTCCGGTCGCCTGAAAGCTGTTTCGGGGACAAAGAAGAATGTGAGAGGTAGTGCTGCCGCCGCGAAAATGGCTACCAGGTAGAAAGTCCAGTCCCATCCAAGGGTATGTGTGATCTTGCCCGCCAGTACTGGCGTAAGAAAGGCTGCACCAAAGAGAGCAACGTTGGACAGTGCCATCCTTTTGCCTCGTTCCTGTTTGCTTGATCAGCATGTGCTTGTGAGGTCCGTGAGATGCGATTTATACTCACGTGCACGTAGAACAAGTCACCGACACATGCATTGACCAGAGCTTCGAATGGAGCAAGAGCAATCCCCTGGAAAATACGAGCCCATAACAGACTCTGGTAGTTGTGCTTACTCCCCCCAGCCCAGGCACAGCTCACCACCATCAAGGCATTTCCGAGCAGGAAGAGGTGACGCTTTCCCCAAACTCGTGCTGTAGGTACAATCAAGATCCCAGCCACTCCAACACCACAGAGATGGTACCCGGTTAGAAGCGCGACTGAGGTGAAGCTCTTGCCATAGTAAAGAGCAATTGTTACGGTGTTGGCAGCCATCAGCGAGCTTGTCGTTGCGCACAGCACCGCGACAAAAGAAAGAACCAGAAGCGTGACATCGCGCTTCCAGAGTGGCCAGTTCTTGTTTCGAGATTGTCAGCTATTTCCCATGTAGCTCGTAGCTCCTAAAGAGTGACTTCAACACACCAATGGATCGTTGGGATCATCGCTTGGCTGAGGGACAAGTAGGATGGGTACAGAGCCCGACCGATCGTATTTCAGATTCAAGTCAATGACCGGCTCATTGTTGGAGTGCTCTCGCTCAAGTATGTCCGTAGTCCCTACTCAGAAGCAGTGTTCAGTGTATTTTGCAGAGACCAGCATGGTTGTGTATGAGATGGTTCCTACCTGGTACATGAGGGCGCTTGGTATCCAACACGCCAAGCCCCATGGTATTATTTAATCGTAATCAAGCAGATACAGTAAGAAACCAGAGCCAACAGTCACCGGCTAAGGTGGAATCAACCGAAAGATAGACAAGGAAGCCTATTGTTGATGGTCGGACGCCTAGACTCCTCCGGCTGGGGACTCTGGAAGGAGAAATCAAGGTCCCACGAGGATCAGGCGGGGAATTCGTCATGCAAAGTGTTCACAAATGAAGTATTCCTTAACGAGGGAATGCAGTTTGCGGGGAATTTCTGCCTTCCAGAAATTCGTAAATGATGGGTTGTCCCGAGCGGACATTCTCGTTCTGCAAGGGCGGCGGTAGTAATGAATAATTGCAAACCCTAGTTCGTGTATAGCATCAAGAACCAAATTGGTGGGTGCGGGTCAGGAGGCCCCGGGTGAATTTACTACTGGCTATGAAAGAACGAACTAGTCTAGTACTCTATTTCTAACGGGGGCGGCCAGACCCAAAATTGGATCGTGGACCCCAGCCTTCTGATCATCCTTCTGAAAGTACTTGTCTGGAGGATGTCGATCGGATGAGGTAGTGTAACTCAAAGGGATAACTCATTTATCAGACACGGCAAGTCTATCATACATAATAACTCATACCAATCATGTGTAATTTTGTCTTATTGGACATCAGGGTGATACACAAAGAGACACTAGCACATCTTGCAAATTCTTGAAGGTCGAATCAAGCCTACACCTTACAAGGTGTACGCTGAGAGAAACTTTATATTGGCTAATAAGCGCCACACAATCCTTCTGCAGTGATCAGCCCTGTTCACATCGACGCCCTCCTCAGCTGCTCATGCATGCATGCATAATCCGAGGCTGCAAGCAATTGGGGAGACATTCATTTCAAGACTGAAACATGGCCCCGATGCCCACCCAGATTGAAATGCAAGGGATACTGATCAGGGCCAGAAGACCACCTGAAATGAACACTGCCTGCATGTTGGGGCCTCGAAAGTTTGACAAGTCCAGCTGAAATCTCCAACTTAACAAGTAACCCTGGCTGGAAGATCAACAATTGGCTCGGGGGATCTTCATACACGATTGGGCCATCCGTTAGAGTACCTTTCTAGTGGCGGGCAAAGTGGACTCCTCCCCTCCTGGAGGTGGCTCGTACTTTAGACATAAGAGTAGATAGATATCTTGGTTTCTGTCCAACTTCAGTGGTTACTTCGGTGCACTGGCATGCATAACTACATTCCTCCGGGATTCCGACGATGGTCTCATGAACTATTGTTTTCCTTACCCATTTCGTCACCTCCCTTATCCTCTGCCGCCAGTCAATGGCATGGGCAGCAACCGAGAAGTACGAAGTAGTACGAAGTAGTACAATGTCCAGTGTTGTCATTATGTATAACAAGCGGATTGGCCATCCGCCATCGGAGCAAAACCCACCAGGGATACTTTCTGGGGCCCGCTTCAACCTAAAATTATAGATAGCCCTTGAATTCGTTCCAAGTGTCCTATTAATTATCTCCTCACATGATGAGCATAACAACGGACATCCTCTCTTATTGATGAACTAGGAGCACTTTCCTTGGACAGGTTTCATCGATATAGATACTAAGTGTAGCAGTATTTGGTAGTGGTTCTAGCTGAAGTCTCCAAAGGCAAGGAGCTTTAAATACGCAACAAAATCATACTAAGACAGACCTCTTGGCTATGGATCACTTCTGGAGTGCCTTCCAAGCCAGGAAAGGAAGTGAGGTGAATACTGTTGGCTCGACCCCAATCGTTCCTTCTTCACTTGATTCATGTGTCACATTCCCTCCACTTCCACCACTTTGTCTACTTCTTGCTTCTTCTCCCCTTCTCCCACTTTATTCTCCCCTCGCCTTCTTTCGAACCCCAAATCGTCTCTCCATCAACCAACATCTCTCTATCCCATTTCATACCCCGCTAGTCAAACCTCAGAAGACACGATGAAGCTCTACCACGTTAGCCTGGCTCTTTTCGCTGGCCTAGGCTTGGTAGCTGGCCAGGGGATGGACAGCCTTCCACCCTGCGCGGTAAGTCCCAGTTACGACAACTTGTCTGCCTGAGTATTGCTGGTTCTATGTAGCTGACCCGATCCCAGAGAGACTGCGCCACCGGTTCTATCCCCAAAACTTGCAAGGCCATTGATGTGAACTGCATCTGCTCCGACAAGTCCTTCATCACTGGTATTTCTTGCTGCGTTGCTTCTACGTGCTCTGCGGAGGATCAGACCTGTATGTCCAAATTTCCCTCCCAATATTCTCACCCCTTATCTGGCCGCGTGGTACATGGCGCCGGCTCGGCTTTAATGACGGCTTCTAATGGGTTATTCGTATTCCAGCTGCTCTCAATTTCGCACAGCAGATCTGCGGTGGCGCCGGCGTAACTGATCTCCCCCAAAGTGCTAGTTGCACAAGTGGAAACACCGCGAGTGCTACTTTGCAGACCACGGGCACAACGGCTGATGCTTCTGCGACTACTACCGCGACTGGTGCAGCTAACGGAACCCGCCTCGACTCATCCAGCTCTGCCAGTGCGGCGAATGCTACCAAAACAGGAAGCAACACTCAGTCTGTGAAAACGCAGGGCGCTACTGCAACTGATAAGAATGCCGCAAGTAATGCGACTGCTAGCAGTGCGGCTGGTATTATCTTGGGAGATAGCAGTGCTGGCCTTGCTGCAATCCTTGGGGCAGCCTTTTATGCATTGCTTCTGTAAAGGGCACTGGATAACGGGCCACCTGATGGTGCTACGAGTGATGATTATTAAGAGCAAAAGTGGTTCTGTCCTATCTTCGGGGCGGCAGAATAGTGTCCTACAAATAATCGCCTTTCGCGAAGGCTGGCAAAATTGAACTGGACCAGCCCAGTTAACTGTAATATGCTTATTAGTTTGTATGATAGAATCGGAATCAAGGTCACAATGTCTTTTGCCGCAGTGGTTGCTGTATAGCCTACAAATAGAGGTGTATACTCAGTAGTGCGAGGGTCATGCCAACTGTATGGATTCGTCTACCGGTCCTGTTCCACGAACCGGTTAGCTGCTTCCTGTCGCTCTTCCCTGAGGGTGATGAAGATCTATCAATTGTCAGCAAACCATAGCATTGGCGTACCCGCCAGAGCTTTCTCTGGGGAGCAATCATAGGGGCGGGAGGGAGAAAGCTTACCCATAACCAAAACATCATTTCCATAAAGCCATATGTGAATACCACCCTGTTTTTCAGCTGATCCAGACCCGGTGTAGCGGCACCGGCAGTGCCGTAGTTCCCCATTCCGGTAGCGGCATCCATTCCCCACGCTGATGGTTGACTCTGGTATATGAAAAAGGAAACGGCAAAGAAGATACAGAAACGAGCAGCGGAAAGGAGGGTCCAGATCTCCGAGTAAAGCGAGGTCAAGCGTGCCATGAAGGGGTTCGTGCGTACAGCCCCTGCCACTGGTATAGGGGATTGCACTCTGGCGGCTTGGGCCATGGCCAGGATCTCGTTAATTTGCGGGATCTTGGTCACAAGAATGAGGTCGACCAGGGCATCGACGACGAGGAGGACACCACATAGGGCGAAAGGGGACTGAGGTCGGGAGATACTAGGGGTCGCCTCCTGAATTGATTGAACGAGAGAGATATTTAGTAAATCGACCGGGGGGGAGGGTATCAAGGGGGCGAATGAAGATGTTAAAATATAAACATACCAGATTCAAGAACTCCCCCAGCATGAAGACGAGGTCAGACTCGGTCACGACCTCTGGCGACCTGGTCAGGTACACGGCCAGCACGAACAGGAACAAGGCATGTGCCTGGATCAAGGTCTTGGAGGAAAGGAGAGCCATGCTGGATTGATTGAATGGCTGTAACGGGCAGTCAGCTAGTATTTTCTGGTGTAACACATGCGTTAATGTATCACAGCCGGGTTGCAGAGAGTATTCGAGAGGTTGAGCTCTGCAGCTGTCTCATTTGTGAACAACAAAAAACATTGTTTCGACCGATGAGATTCGAATTGGGGAACGAGAATTGAATTTCCCCGGCGGCCGAGTGGGGCTGGACTTTTGGCAGCCTCCGATCGAGATGGAGAAGAGCAGGCCGGGAATGCGCAAGACCAACAATTAGCGGAAGCCCACCCCCCTCTCAAAGAAAAGCAATTTGTCGGCTTATTCGGAGGAGGCTACTGTCCCCTTTTCCTTCCTGGTGCACACTCTCTATACCTCTATACTAACGTACATTATATGGCCAGAGCTCCGCACGGGAGAAGTTGGTATTATTATCGCGGGCACTGACATCATGACCGACGTCCCAGTCACTTTTACCAAAGAACGACACATCAAGTATTTCCTACGATGTCTCAAAACCTTCCTTCCCAGCCTATACACCTCCAATGACTCCAATCGCATGCTTCTCGCCTTTTTCACGGTCGCCGGCTTAGACCTGCTCGGCGTCTTGCAGAGCAAAACCACCCCCGAAGAGCGACAAGGCTACATCGACTGGATCTACCACTGCCAGGTTCCCACGGGCGGATTTCGAGCCTTCACCGGAACGGATTTTGGCGCGGAGAATCGGACATCGGATAATGAAGCTTGGGATCCGGCAAATGTACCCTCTACCTTCTTTGCGCTGGAGCTCCTTATCATCCTGGGCGATGATTTATCGCGAGTGAAGCGGAGGGAGTGTTTACAATGGTTGCCGCGCCTGCAGCGTGATAATGGAAGCTTTGGAGAGGTGCTGGGTCCGGGAGGGAAGATTGAAGGTGGTGGTGATCTCCGCTTTTGCTGCTTTGCGGCAGGCACGCGGTATATTCTGCGGGGGAATGGCGGGGCAGATGTGGATGGCATCAAGGACATTGATGTGGACAAGCTGGCCGCGTTTGTTCAGGCATGTCAAGTAAGTGACCTGCACTCTTTAACTCCGTATAATCTGATACGTGACATATGCTGAGATGCATTATTCCAGGCATATGATGGCGGTATGGGTGAAGCACCCTTTTGTGAAGCGCATTGTACGTTATATTCAGATGTCTCGCTCTGCTTAGAATTGGGCCCCCCCCTTTCTTGTTACAGAATGGCAGCTTACTCGTATACCCCCGCAGCCGGTCATACGTATTGCGCAATGGGCGCCTTGACATTCTTAAGTCGTATGGCAAAGGATCAGAAGCCACCGCCAGTCCTTTCTCCAGGCGCGAACGAATTCGAGACCTTGGTTCGTTGGCTCGTTGCCAGACAAACCACAGAACTCGGCGACACCGAGGAGGACTCGGACGATGATAACAGCTCTGAGGTGAATGAGGCTCCGAAACCGGTACCGGAGGCTGTTGAAGAAGTAAGCTTAGATGAGAGCCTCGATAAGCTCCCCGCTATACCGCCACCAACGGAACAGGATCTACGATGTGCAGGCTTCAATGGGCGATGTAATAAGTATGCTGATACATGTTACTCATTCTGGAACCTGGCAACATTAGATGTAAGCAATCACAGTTTGTGTGAGAGAGTGACATTACTGATCCGATCGTTGGTGGACAGATGATGAATAGGTTAGACCTCGTGGACACAAGTCGGAATCGGCAATATCTTCTCGGAAAAACGCAGCATATCATCGGCGGTTTTGGAAAGGGTGTGGGCGAGCCACCAGGTTGGTACCCTTGGGGGTGTTATTAATGTCTGGTAATTTCCTCGCTGACTGACGATTACAGATCTCCTCCATTCCTACTTTGGGATGGTCGCCCTCGCGTTCCAGGGAGAGGAAGGGCTAGATGGGGTTGATCCAGCGCTGTGTATGAGCCATCGGGCCGTGCAGCAACTACAGTCTCTCCCTTGGTGGAAAGAAGGGGTTTGAAGTGATGGGTTAATCGAATAGGGTCGGAAGCTTTGGGTCTCGGGTCTCGGTGAGATGGAACTTGTCAGTCATATACCCCAACCATACTGAATGAATTGATTGTTTATATACACAACAGTAATGAGCCAACTTGAAGTTACTGTACTTATGTATCTTCTAGCCTTTACTGTGTAGATAAGGTGACCCCCCTTCCCATATCGGGTTATTATGACCTATAGACTAGTATGTCACAGATGTGATGCAGTCATCGTATGATGTGATGACTGATTTCCAGTACTTTCTATGACAACTTATTCAATCTCTGAAGTGACAGGCCCGTGAAAGAAGATGGACAATCCATACCAGATACGTGTGGTAGGGGCGTTTACTAGAGGAAACTAGGGAGGCATGTCATAAGCGGAAGACCCTATCAGAGCTTTAAGTGTCGACTTATTCTTAAGCTGTCAAAGTAATCAGGGGGTCGGATTTGCCGGGAGTTAATTAGTTAGGGACCGCCGCGCAAGGTTGACTAAGAGCGATGACGATGTTGATTGAGAACGGCTGTTAAGTTAGGGAAACTCAGGGGCTGCTGGCTGACTAGACTACAGTTAAGTACGTAGTTATGAATGATGCTAGCTACTCCTAGTAGTTATGATGTTATGATCCACATATGCCCCCAATTACTGCTTCTTTTCCTTCCTGTAACGGGAAGCAAGGCCGGGATCGATGACATCGGCCCTTCGGAACGGCGGACAGAACGGTACAGAGTATCTTGCATAGTTATGCTAATCGGAGAGGGGGGGAGAGGGTGATAGTTACAAAAAAGTACTATTTTGACTATCGAGGAAAGAAAAAATCTCGAAGGATCAGGAGTAATCTTAAATTCTCCTGGGTAGAAAGTCTTATTTATTACTCCGTAGTAAAATTCCATAATAGAATTTGGTAAGAACAAATAGTAATGGAAAATGAGATAGTAATAGAGGGAGGATATGCAAAGCCAGTCTCAAAGGTGCCTGAACACAATGACAGAAACGGCCCACGTTCCCACCGGCTAAAATGTGGCCGGGCGGCTAAGAGTAATTAATTAACAGTGAATAAAATACTAGTATGGATGCGAAGATAGAAGGGGAAGAAATAGAAATAGAAATAGAAATCGTGGGTTTGACATTTCATAATGATAATAATAAAATTACTATTATTGTTGGAACTGGGTTTCGGGGGTTTTTTATGGGGAAAGGAGGAAGGGGAGAAAAGAAACAAACAATAATAATAATAATAATCATTCCAGTGTACGTAGAATAGTTACTGTTGGTTAGTATCCTTCTTACACTCCTTTCAGCATCATTGTCACATTCTATACTTTTGTTCAATCACACTCTTTTTTTTTTAATTAGCCAGTATATTGTTTTGAGGACCACAATTCTATCTGCTCATCATCATCACAATCATCATCACTGACCACTCCACTCCACCCACCCACCCACCACCACCACCACACAGACAGACATAGTGAGTCTCCTCCCTCTCTCTCTCCCCTGGGCTCATGCACGCCCCTGCCGGCTGTCGTCAGTCCACCCCCCCAACTCCGTCCTTGCCAGGCTCTCCTAACCCAGTCCTCCTACTACTTTTATTACCAAGACTACTATTATTATCACCGTTCCTGTCCTTTCCTTTACCCCCCTCCATCACCCTCAACTTCCTGCTCGCTTGCTGGTCGGCTGGCTAGAGAATTTGAGGCGTGCTTTTTTAGTACTTTGGTTGCTTGCTTGTCTGCTGGCTAGCTGGCTGGCTTGGCTGCTGCTTTATTGAAATTGCCCAGCACCTGTCGTCATTTAATCCCGGATTTATTGTTTCCATTCCATCGCTGTACAGATTGCCCCTCAAGCTACGGGCCCTGCCTTACTACTAACTAATCATCATCAACCTTATTGAGTTTGTCTGGCTGGTATGTGTTTGCCTTCTTTTCCAGAACATCCCTCCCCCCCGCTCTCTCCATCGCTTTCTCTTCTCTCTCCTTCATCCACTCCCGCACTTTTGTTTGCAGCTTGTCGCTATAGAACCACATACCTTCCTGAAACAACACTAACGTTCGCTGGATCTGTTACTATCTAGCTTAGTGTATCATCCCTTATCAGCCTCCCCTACTCTGCCCGTTCCTTCTCCGAATTATTGCGGCTCCGAGCTTTCCACACTCCTGTCGACTACTAGCTACTAGATAGCTACCACCACCGACTTGCGCGCCCATCCTACGTTCCCTCGTGCCTCAAATTTCATTCGAGCTATCCGCCCCTCATTCCTTTTGTCACAGATTAGACAGTCATCATATACTCTTGTATTCCGTCGGCTGTTCCGAACAATCGCCTCCTTGATACCTTCCACTCCTTCTCCGCCCACGTCGGCGTCGATTTGCGATCTCCTGGAACCCCCACCCCTTACAACCGGAGCGACAGCGGCCTTCGGTTCACTCTCTATATATTCCTCCCTGCGTTGGATGGCCACCCTTGACAACTTAGTACCACTCCAATCCTGCACAGAACCGTCTCAGACACGCATACTCCATCTCCGCGGACTTCCCCCAGACAGGCGGAGATAATCTTAACACATGCCACCTCCGAGGACGAGAGCGGAGGTCCAGGCCCAGAAACAAAAAGAGAAGGTGCGTCTCGGCTTTTTTTGATTTTAAGTTTGGAGGTCGAAGATCCTCTGCAATGCGCATGTCCTATTCTCCGCCATCTCTCTTTTCTTTCGGGACACATGCAAGACTCCGTCCCCGATCCAGGATCGAATCCCTTTTTCTCTTGTCGTGGTAGATGGCTTAACTGACTGGGATCTTGCGCTATGAACAGCTTGCCCAATCATACAATGCACTGCTGGAGTGAGCAAACCCCCCCAAAACCTCGCCTTCGCCTTCAGCTTGGATGCTAACAACAATCGTCTTCATAGGGAATTCTCTTCGAAGGATCTTCGCACTGTAGGAAACTACACGCTTGGGAGGTTAATTGGGAAGGGTTCCTTTGGCAAAGTATATCTTGCCTCACATAAGCTTACCAATGGCTCCAAGGTACGTCTATGAAAAAGCCCACTACTTATGTGTTAGATAGACCTGACAGGATTGCGCGCAGGTGGTGCTCAAGTCTTCGAGTAAGGAAGACCGAAACCTGGCACGCGAGATCCATCATCACCGCCAGTTCCTCCATCCCCACATTGCCCGCCTATACGAAGTCATTGTGACGGAAAAGCTGGTCTGGCTTGTTCTCGAGTACTGCCCGGGTACGTGGCGAGATGCTGCTGTAGATGTAGTAGGATACCGCTAACACGCTCGAGCAGGTGATGAGCTGTACAACTATCTCCTTCGGCATGGTCCGTTGCCGGTAGACAAAGTCAAGCGAATTTTCACGCAACTAGTGGGTGCCGTTGCTTATGTCCATAGCAAATCTTGCGTCCACCGTGATCTCAAGCTAGAGAACATCTTACTCGACAAACATGAGAACGTGAAGCTGTGCGATTTTGGGTTCACTCGCGAATATGAAGGCAAGGCGAGTTACTTGCAGACGTTTTGTGGAACAGTATGCTATAGCGCTCCCGAAATGCTCAAGGGCGAGAAGTATGCTGGCGAGAAGGTGGATGTCTGGAGCTTGGGTATCATTCTTTACGCCTTGCTTGCTGGGGAGTTGCCATTCGATGATGATGACGACCAAGTAACAAAGGCTCGGATTCTTGGTGAAGAAGCAATTTTCAACGATAAATTTCCCGACGATGCCAAAGCCCTCATCAATCTACTCCTTTCGAAGCGGCCCCTTATTCGACCCAGTCTGGACGAGATCCTTGCCCATCCGTTTCTTGCAGAGCATGCTCCCGAACAGTTGGCGATACTCAAGATTCCGCGCCCAGCCGCCTTCTCGACCCCTCTGGAGAGGACCACGCTGCAGCGCATGAAGAGTGCAGGAGTCAACATCGATGAGGTTGTCGAGAGCGTTCTCTCTCAACGCTGTGACCCCCTCGCTGGTTGGTGGGCATTGTTGATCGAAAAGGAGCAGCGAAAAGAGCAGAAGAGGGAGCGTAAACGACGCGAGCGTGAAGCGGAAGCTAAGAATATTCGCCGCTTGAGTGCAGCAAGCAGTCGGCTGGAAAAGATCTCGGCCGCCCTTGTGGAAGTCGACGAAGAGGGCCACGCCGCAGACACTCATCTTCGTGAGCGAGGACGGCGAGACAGACGGAGTCTCCCTTCTCAGCTTGCTGTCCCAGAGCTGCCAATGCTTCCCGAACCGACACCCCTGCAGTCCCCAGATTCTAGCACGCCTCCGCCCCCCATTGACAAAGATTCCATTCGTTCTGCTAGTTCGACCCGGCAGCGTCCCCCACCACCACCGAAAGATCAAGCACGACGGCCGAGCACGTTGCATGTGAGCGCATCGCAGCCTGAATTGGCCCAGCACAACAATGGCATCTTTAGACGCCGCACCGGTCGCCGCCAGTACCCGATAATAAGCCAATTGGCCTCGTTGAAACACTGGTTTGTGGAGTCTGCAAAGAGAGCCAAATCTCCTCATGCCAAGGCGGCTGGGGGTCAAGGAGGCCATCGCAAGTTTCTCTCCGAGAAATTGAGCCCGGCCAAGGGCCAGGATACCGGAAAGAAGCCCACTTCGGCATCTGGGGCCACCGCGCACTCTGGTGACTTGTTGACGCCAACACAGATCAAGCGCTCATCGAATGCCAGCAGCTTAGCCCCGAGCAGTGCTTCTTATCCGAACAACCGCCATTCCTACCCTCGCCACAATCGTCCTTTGAGCACGAGCCAGAGAAACTCTCTCTCGCCATCTCCGATTACCCCAAGAGGTTCATACCGGCGGTCCTCCGCAGGTCTGCGTGGTCGCAAGTCCACTTCTTCTTCCGTGTCCTCCATCCGCAGCATCCATCATGCCCACAGCCACTCTAAAGCATCGTCCGTTTCTTCAAATAGTATTGGTTCAGCGTCGACCCCAACGGCTCGAATCTCGAAGTCGCCTCACACATCAGTCAAAGTCCTTCCCACGACGCCAAGTGCGTCTGCCCGATTTCCCAGTAATATCCGTCTGGTGCGAGGCACGCAGAACGGTTTCCGTGACATTGATGACCCTAACGGGAGGATCAATAACATGTTCAACGAGGCAGCCCCAGCGCCACTGCTCTACTCCCCTTCGTCAAGCCTCGTCTTTGCACGTCGAAAACGATCCGCTTTCAAGGGGCCTATGGTCCATACAGCTAATCTGATGGTATCGGGTGGAATGACAAGCACTGAGTACCCAAATGGCGACATAGGGGTTGGAGGCCCTGCGGTCGCAGCAGCACCTCGATCTGGGACACGAAAAAGCCAAATAATAGAAGAGGAAGAGGACATGGAGGAAGATATCGAAGAAGTCGATACTTTTGATGGCCTAGATGAAGGGCCAGGCTCGCCAGTCGACTCCACTGCCTCGGAAGACCATACAGGCGCTGGACATCTGGCGGGATCGTCCTTCGGGCGAACTGGCAAACCGACTCTAGCTCCTGCTGCAGAACTCGAGTCGACTCCGCGCCCACCCAATACATCTTAATTGAGTGACACCCGATTAGAATGCGGTCTCCCAGGAGTTTTCAGTGTCACCGTATCCTAGGAGTCATGAGTCTAGGAAACGGAGAGTCCCGAATACAAAAGCTACAGCAATCATAGAGTACAGGCTCGCTGGGTACATTGTTGGCTTGTTTGATTTATTGTTTTCTCATACACATTTATACCCCTTTTCTTTGCGTCTATAAGGAGCTAAAATTTCTTGGACATTGATTTTCTCTTCTGTTCTTCTAGCCTTTTTTCTTCATGATGCGGCGCGCAAAATAATGATCGGATGACGAGTTGGGAGGCGTTTGTATACCATCCCATCCCTCTTGTTCTCCTTATTTTTACCCCCTTCCCCTTCTACCCTTCCTTCATACTATCTACTTTAAAGACCTTGATTGAAGCTTATCTTCTCTGACCAGGACATCGGATCATGCACAATTTTGCATTTCCTTTCTGTGTACCCTATTATGCGTTTATCATTCACCCCTTCCCTATTGTCTCCATACCTTTCCTGCTTGTACTTGTTTGTTTCTAGAGATATCCACTACATACGGCTGCCCATTGAGATACTCAAATTCTGGATCTTAGTTGGACGAGGTGTCACGCAAAGCCGGTGCCTAGAGGCAGACACGAGGATCAAGTCTCGGTGATCAACGCAGTTTGGATCTGTCCACCGTCCATTGCGCGCTCTCGGCCTTTTTGATTCTGGGTTGTGTATATGCCCGATTAACTTCTCGATAGAATAGACTTCACTTTTAATGCCCACATTCGCATCAAGGGTATATGAATATTTATAGTAAGCAGAATAGTAAAGCATTTACGAGATCGTAAGCAACATGAAATTTCATGACGAATGTGAAGTGACCCTATGCAGCGCCTACTAGTCACTGCATTTATACCGAAACCACCTACTTACTAGTAGTAGTATATTCCTCCCTCGCAGTTTCCTCTCCCTTCTCCTTCTCCATATCCGTCAACCCATGCCCCCCACCACCACCACTTTCAACATCCTTCGGACTGACACTAGCAGCTTCATCCCTCAACCCAATCTCACTCTCCCCGACCTTATCAACCATATCCCGATACGCCGGCACAAAGTTCACCGCGAGGGCATACGTCCACGCCACAACCATGAACATCGTCGGAACGATCATCGCAAAGCCCGTACTATTTCGCATATCGGCTACATGGCCCAGGATTGGAGGCACGACGGCACCACCGGATACTCCGCCGACAATGAAGCCTGAGCCGCGCTTGTAGTGTCGGCCGAGGCCGCGGATACCTAGTGCGACGATGGTGGGGAAGCAGACGGATTCGAAGAAGAGGGTGCAGAAGAGCATTGCTAGATAGGGGTTTTGTGTGTTAGTTAGGATGTTGGCTTGGGTTTTCTTTTTTTGGGTTTTGTTTGGACTGGGGTGGATTGAGGAAACGTACCTATGCCTTTTTGATCACGTTGGGTTATGGATGCGGCAATGAATGCTACAGTCAGTGAGAGATAGGCTAGGAATACCCAGCGGGCTTTGACGAATCTCATGATGATCGCGCCGAGGAATCGTCCCATTGCAAAGGCTCCTTGTGCGCCGGCGAGGTATTTGGAGCCGGTGGCGCTGGTGGTTCCGGGCCAGGTTTCGACGACGTAGTTGATGAAGTAGCCTGCGATGGCAACTATTATTGAGCAAGCAGGAGTGGTTAGTGTTTTAGTAGTAGTGTAAAGGGCCCGTAAGGAGAAGGGGTTTCGTACCTTGGGCGCCGGTATAAGTGAACTGTGCCAACGTGGCGTGGAAGAGTCGATACTGTTTCCAGAATGGTTTATCCTGTTCGCCAACGTGCGTTTCGGCTACCTGGAAGGCCATGTCTTGGTCGGTTACTTCGGGGATTGTGGAGATGAAGAAGACGCCGGCAAGAACGAAGACAAAGATGCCAATGGCTAGATATACCCATTGTACTCGTTTGAGAGCGTTCACGTCATCCTCGGTGGATGTGAAGAAGACGTATGATGCTAGGGCTGGTGCGACGCAGGTGCCGATGCCGTTGAACGCCTGGGCGAGATTGATTCGAATCTCGGCGTATTTTGGTGGACCACAGACTGATCGGTCATTTCAGTGATTAGCAGGGGGGGGTCTTTTTAGGTTATTTCCTCTCACAGTATCAGCTGGAGATGGGACATGGATGGTTGACTAACCGGTAAGGTAGGGGTTGGCAGCGGTCTCCAACGAACCAAGGCCCGAGCCAATAACAAAGGTAGCAGCGCAGAAGCCACCAAACGATCGGTTCAAGCCTGCAGGCCACATGCAGAGGGCACCGATACCATATAGAGTGAGCCCGAAGATGAAGACGGTTTTGTATCCGAAGTGACGGAGTATGTAGTTTGCATATCCCAAGGACGCAAGTGGATAAGCACTAATGACCATCAGTTGAATCGCAACATGTACGTAGCTTAGCAAATGTCTGACCCAAAGTAGGCTGCTTGAAGACCCGAGGAGCGTGTCCGGGTGATATTCAGAGTGTTTTGGAAATGTTTGTTGAGGGTGTCGAGCAGGCCGTAGGCAAAGCCCTGTTGAAAGTTGGGTTAGCAGATCGAATCGAGTAATGGTTGGGCTGCTGGTGCACAGCTTACCCAGAGAAAGAAGAGTATAGTAACAAGGGTCAAGGGCCAAAGACTTTGGCGTAAGGTCAGGGTAGCTGCAGAAGTAGTCCTGCTATTATCAACCCGGAACCCAGACCGGGTCTTGAGGAAGTTTAGAAACCCCATGCTGTGGGGGAGGGAAGATTAAGCCCAGAGCAATGATGAAAGGAGATAGATAAAAGCAAAGTGAAACTGTAGTAAAGTAAAAGAGAAATATACCGAAGCAGTGGGAGAAAGGAAAGACAAGCAATGCTTGCAGGGATTCAAACGCCAGAAGAAGCCCCAGACATTGGCACCCTAGCTCCTTATGTACTAATACTTCGTTCAGCATGAGGGCATCAAGTTTGCAAGCCATGTGAGCATGTTCCTTGGCATCACCCCAGAAAATACACTCTTTCTCTTCTCCCCAGAGTCCCCCTCATTCCCCTCTCACTAGAATTGGTGCTGTAGGCCCCGCCAGCCAAGCGTAAAGACGGGCAGTAGCACCGCCATCCCCAGACTTCTTCCCCACAAATCCAGACAATCCTTGGGAAGGATCACCGGTTAGAATCCACCAGTGAGGAGTCGAGACGGGCCGACATCCCATGAGTTGTAGCGCAGCCAATCTTTAGCCGTTAGAGGTCAGCCCGATTGCTCGAGGTGCGTCCAATTCAGGGTAACATTCCTCGTGAAGCGCGAGGGTCAAGGATAGTGGCGGGTAGCAGCAGCAGCCGTGAACTTCATCTCGGCGGTTTCCCCCGCATCGATCAGAGCCTGGTTGGGTGACTTGAGAATAGTTAGCGATGATGGCTTATTGGCTTTGGCTTGCCCTGCTAGTGGTAGAAAGAAAAGGTTAAGGTGGCTTTCCAAGTTCCCTATTTGTCCCTCCCTCCTTATATCCTTTTTGCTCCTCTTACTCCGCAGTCGCGGGAATTAGGCTAATAACCTGACTGACAAGACTGACCATGCACGTTCAGCTGCATATGCGACATAATCAGAGCTTGCTGCCTGCTAGCAAGGGGAAAGTCATTGATGTGAGGCCACTAAGTGGATTTAGCCGGGTTCAGCCAGTCGCAAGTGAGATCGCAATGGCTGGGTCCAGAGTACGGGTGGTAGTGCTACTTTTCTTATTTTGAGGCAATGGCTGTATTGGCCCCTGTCCACGTCACGGGGCCTGGACAACGTGACCTTCAATTACTCCCCAAACTTGTATACGATCAGATAATCACAATTCAGGAGAATTCAGATACAGACACAAGTCGTCTCTTCGTTGTTCTTATGCAATCAGAACATCCAACATGTTTTACGTACATGTAATCAACCACCCAACAGCAGAAAACCAAAATATAACAGGGCTGGAGGGCCGATATCTATATCTATCATCAATGCACCCCCTCATATTCGAGTCATCACTTCGTTGCTCAAATCTACGCCCGCTTAGGCTTCCCCACTCCTCCGTTCTGTTGTTCGACGGTAGATCTTGCTGGGACGTTATTGTACAGACGACGTTCCGCGAACTTGAGAACCTCATCGATGAGCCTAGTTGGTTTCGGTCAGCAAACATTCTCGCCAGGTAGAGGGAGATTCAAGAGATTGACTTACACAACCGGGGCACTAATGGCCACGACGGCCTTCCATTCCATCCAGCCCAGGGGCAGGATCGAGAACAAACCCTGCAAGAAGGGCACATACAGGATCGCAAAGTGCAACGCCATCGAAAGGACGATGGCACCGACCAGCATGGGGTTGTGCCAGAGGAAGAACGTAAGAAGGGATTCGCTGGACGAGAGTGCGTTCATGGCGTTCAACATCTCAATGACGACCAAGATCGAAAGAGACACAGTAGAGGCCGAGCGGGACATATCGTTCGAGAACATCTCGCACCCAATCTCAGGGAACTGCGAGGAGCACTTGTGGAAGTGAGACTACATAGAAATTAGCAAGGCCGGGATGAAAACCAAGTAAGTAGACTAGACGACGCATATCTTACCAATTGCCAGAAGGAAATCTGAGGACCCTCAGGGTTGTACACAAACCACCAAACGTAGCCGAAGACAGTAGCCGCACCAACATAAGTACCGATCACCATGTATCTGAACAGAAGCCAGCCGCCAACCAGGGGCTCGTCGCGCTTGCGGGGGGCGCGTCTCATCACATCATGGTCAGGGGGGTTGAATGAGAGCGCAGTAGCAGGCAAGCCGTCGGTGACAAGGTTGACCCAGAGAAGCTGCACGGGAATCAAGGCTTCAGGCATGCCCAAGGCGGCGGTCAAGAAGATCGACACCACTTCGCCGATGTTCGAAGAGATCAGGTAGCGGATGAACTGCTGAGTGTTGCTGTAGATGGAACGTCCCTCTTCCACAGCCACGGTGATGGTGGCAAAGTTGTCGTCGGCCAAAACCATATCAGCAGCCAGCTTAGCAACGTCGGTTCCTGTTCCCATAGCCACACCAATATCCGACTTCTTCAGGGCAGGGGCGTCGTTGACACCGTCACCAGTCATGGCAACCACATGGCCTTGAGATTGGAGAAGATCGACCAGCTTGGACTTGTGGCTAGGCTCGGTGCGGGAAATCAAAGACACAGTCTTAGCAGCCTCGAGTTTCTCAGCCTCCGAAAGGCCGTCAAACTCCCTTCCAGTGAGACTCTTGCCTTTGAGGTCCTCGCCCTCGTGGAAGACACCAATCTGACGGCAGATCGACTCAGCGGTGTTCTGATTGTCACCGGTAATGACGATAACCCGAATTCCAGCATCGTGGCACTTCTTGATGGAAGCTGCGACCTCAACGCGTGGGGGATCGAGCATAGCGACAAGTCCGATAAGGGTCATGTTTTGTTCCAGCTGGGCGTAGTCTTGGGACGATTGAGCGTTGTGAAGCAGAGGGTTGTTGTTGACACCGTCGACACTAGCCAAAGCCATCACACGAAGACCACGGCTACCGTAGCCCACAACTTCAGCAGCGAGCCTATCAAGATGAGACTTGGTAAGAGACACCCGTTTGCCGTCAGATCCAAGAAGAACATGTGTGCACCGCTCCAAGATAGACTCGGGAGCGCCCTTGACGAGTAGCTTCTGTTCCTTATCATTTCCAATGAGCACGGACATGCTCTTCCGGTCACGCGAGAATTCGTAGGTTGCTTTCAAGGGCAGGCGAGCTTCGTAGTACGCGCTTGCGGCGTGGAGTCGCTGGGAGACGGGGAGACGGAACAGCTTCGCATTTGTAGCGGCATCATCGGTGCCAATCTTTTCGACCAGAACACGCAGTGCGCCCTCAGTAGGTTCACCGATACAGGAAAATGAGCCGTTCTTCGCATCGTGGGCCAAAGTCGCACTGTTGCAGCGAGCCATGACCTCCGCCATCTGTCGGACAGTGGCCGAGGACACGGCAACGTTCTGGAGTTCCTTTCCATCGCGAGTGACTTTACCTTCAGGCGCAAAAGTGGTGCCTTCAATATCAATCTCCTCAACACCGGTGCCGGCTGCATTCAAATACGCGATCTTCTCTGCGCTCATTTGGTTGGTGGTCAAGGTTCCGGTCTTGTCGGAGCAGATCACACTGCAGCTGCCGAGAGTCTCCACAGAGGGAAGCGAACGGACCACTGCATTCTTCTGAGCCATCTTGCGGGTACCAAGTGCGAGACAGGTGGTAATGACCACAGCCAAACCCTCGGGAATGGCAGCCACACCCAGAGACACCGCGATCTTAAGATAGTATATGGCTCCCTTAGTCCAGCCTCCATGGGAAGGGTCGTTGAAATGCTCGATGTTGATGATCCACACCAGAATACAAATGACGGTAATTACCTTGGCCAGCATGTCTCCAAAATCATCGAGCTTCTGCTTCAGTGGGGTTGGCTCCGAGATCTGAGAGGTGATGCTCTCGTGGATGTCACCAATGGCGGTTGATCCACCGGTCAAGGTCACAATGGCGGTAGCGTGTCCATTAACAACAGTGGTACCAGAGAAGAGCATGTTGGTTTGATCCTGCTTAACGGCCTGCTTGTCATGAACAGTGCGGGCGTCCTTGCTCACACTCTCACTCTCACCGGTCAGGATGGCTTGATCCACTCGGAAGCTGTTGCTGTGAACAGCAAGTAGCCTGCAATCCGCTGGAACACGGTCTCCAACCGCAACGACGATAATATCTCCGGGAACCAGGTCTTCGGCCTTGACACGCTTGGTAACGCCATCACGGACAACAGTAGCTTCGTTTGCAGAGTATTCCTGAAGAGCAGCAATAGCCTTCTCAGCATTGCTCTCCTGGGTAACACCAACCACGGCATTGAGAATCAGAATCGTCAAAATCTATGGAATAACAGGGTTCGTTAGTGTCTTGGGTCGAGGCGCGCCAGACTCGGGAGGCTTTCGAGCTCATACCACAACGGGGTCAACAAAGGCGGACCAGTCATCTCCTTCTTCGAAAAGAGCCAGAACAAAAGATACAGCAGCGGAGCCCAGTAGAATCAGGACCAGTTGGTCCTTGAATTGTTCCAGCACAAGTTGCCAGAGAGGGGTTGGTGGTTCTTCCGCAAGGGCTATGAAGATTCGAACCGCAAGTTAGTGCCTGCGACATTGCCCATGGGGAAGGAAAGCTGCAACATACCGTTAGGACCGTACTTTTTCCTCGATTGAGAGACCTGCTGTTGCGACAGACCAGAGCTCTCCTTGACGTCAAAATGGTCCAGCACTTCGGCTGGGGAATAGAGGTAGGAGTGCTCCATGTTGTTGGGACCCCAGAAAAGCGCAAGGTGGCCTGGAGCGGGAACAACAGAGAAGAGAGAGAAAAGGAAGGGAAGTGACCGGGGATATAACCCAGATCAAGACATGAACGCGCCAAGTGGCCGGAAGCTTGGGACCTAGTGAGTGGCACTGCAATCAAGTCGGAGAGGTTAGTCCCTTAGCGGGAAGGATCTAGAAGAGTAGTAGATAGATAGTAGGTTAGGATGGGAAGCGGAAAGCGGACACACCAGATAGTACCGTTGTTAATAATACCGGGCAAGACCAATCAATACACCAGATACCGTCAGCCAAGGAGGAAGGAAGGAAATGAAGTAAGTAAGAAAGAAAGAAAAGAAAAGAAAAAACGGGGTATTCTCTTGAGAAGATGGCAAAAACTGCTGATTTATAATTTATAAATAAATTTCCCCATTCCATACAAGGCCGAATGATGGGCCAGGGATTTTGCCTCTGGGGGCTCGGGAACCGTGAACCAGAGGCGGCTTTGTCAGGCACTCAACGTGTTCTCTTCAGTTGCGGTGTCTGGATCCTATCTGGTTCCCCCCCGTCGCTGCGCCAGAATTGCCGGTTCCAATCCGACAGGGCTGAACCATACCATGACCGTGCTTCTGTGAGTCCGGGCGTTGGAGTCACTTGGCCTGTTTAGTAGTCTTTACGACCGGATTATTACACTCATCTTCCTAGAAAGGTTCTATAGCTGTGTATCTGTTATATTTCATGTTCATGAAAGTTCATGAAAAATAATTTAGCTGAAGAAAATAAAACTGATCAATTAGGAAAAAAAGGGTGAAGGAAAAAAAAAGAAAAGAAATTAAAGAAAGGGACGCATTCTCCCCCCAACATTGCACAGCCTTCTTAATAGTTCTAAATAATCTTCCTACGTATCCATTTTCATTCTCAGCGTTATCTCCCTCAAGTCTCTATTTCTCTCTTCTCTCTCTGCAAGCGAGAAACCCACCGCTCGGCCATAACAATACCATACACTCTCCACTGCGAAACGATGATGCCTTCCTGGCTGACCCCAAGACTCGAACTAAAAACCACTCGTCCCATACAATTCGCAGTCATCCTGGTTCATTTGGCGCCCATTTAGCGGGGTCTCACTCCTCGGATTGGAAGGTGCTGCATAACACCGGTGGAGGCCTCTTGTCTCTCGTAGATTTTGATTCGATTCCGTGCTTTCCGCCATGGTATCGGACCCAGAGCACCTGCCCCAAACAAGTCATCGATCTTCCACCCATCCACACCAAACGGTACGACAGCTTGCCTAGTCCGGCCCTTGTAGACGCCCTGTAGGGCAGAGGGCCCGTCCACACTGCTCCAGAAGGTGATTTCATACCATCCAGCGGTATATTTGGTGGTTCTCCTTTTGAAACTCCAATGTCTTGACTCAGCAGCCCGCCTGTTTCGGTGGTTGTTGCAGTCCTGCGTAATCTCCGCTCAGGAAGGGTGTATTTAGTAGTAGGGAAACCCATAGTTGTCTCTTAGTTTGCATGGCCAAAAGCACGGTCAGCCTAATTGGGATAGTAAATTAAGGGTTTCTTTTTGAATCGGGCAATAACCGGTGAACTTGTCATCTGCCGGGCTCTCAACATCTCTTTTTTTTTTCGTCTCGTGCGGTTCTGAATAGACGATCATCGGAGATACGGAGCACAGCTCACGGTACCACAGCCCGTTGAGGGTGGAGAAGCGCGACGTATAACATCTTCACCGGTTGTGCGGTAGAGAATAACCGGCAGAATAGGACCTTGGCAGTTAAAAAGACAAAGGGGACCAGAGCGATTCTGGTCCTGATGAACGGAAGAGCATGATGATTCAACTCAAGGGGAAAATAAGTATGATCTATCTCCCACATGAACTGGTATCATTAGCCGCCCTCTTATGGTTTTCAACTCTTGCACCCAGGCTCTTGGAAGTATTCATGGCTGCCTCAGTCGATTCCGGGCCATGAAATTCTGGAAATCTCTATTTACAGCTCCTACTATGCTACTATAATCTCTCCCCGTTTGGGGGATGTTAGGATGTTACTATGCCGCATAATTGGGAGTCTTTCACTAATAATTGAGAGCGACCGCTCAACTAAGGAGGCACTAACCATTAATTGCCTAGTTGGTTTTTAAACCCGGAGTGATTATTGTTAGATTACGTCAGGGTCCAGTGACCGGCGGAAGCAGGTGACCAGCAGGAGATTTGCTTGCTGACTCACCATTACCCTGCCTGAGGCTGCGAGAGCAAACATCGCAAACAGACGAGGCGCCCGCTTCTCGCTAAAGCTGGCTGGTCGTCACCTTCACCGTCCATCACTCGTTGCTGGAGGATCACATCTGCCAAACCTCTCGTGATTCCCATCTTCTTTTCATCCCATTCTCCGTTGTCTCGTGCTCTACTTCGGTATCTTGCACCTCTACTCTCTCCTTTTCACCCTCTACCAAACCAACCACCGTCTTTCCCAATCCCCTTATCTCCATCAGATCGCCTACTATGACTTCTGAGGTATGTTATTCCACCCCCTCAGCCTGACCCCTCTCTCTGCTCTGGCGGCTTCACCTGGCGTCCGTCCAGTTGTAGCCGTTTGATCCCTAGCCGCATGTATTCCTATGTCGGGAAATTCTCTTGTGTTTTCTCAGTTGTTGCGTCGCGATTAGTCTGGACTCAGCTAACTGTTCTCCCCCCCCTTTACTTGCAGCGTGAGAAGTAAGGATCCAGACCCGTCTCGACCAGTGGCCCGACAACAGCAACACTGACACTACACCCTTCTGCAGCAAGACGTTCCTCGCCCGGCTCTGTGAGCAGGCTGAGCGCTACGATGGTAAGATGCCTGTTTACTGCTCTGCCATGTTGGCTTCACATGCTGATCCCTACCGCCTATAGAGATGGTCACGTACATGAAGGTCAGTAGCCGCCTGTCAGCCCCTGGGCTCTCAACAAGCATAATCGCTAACTCTTATGCAGGAAGTCGCCAACGTATGAACCCCCCTTACCTCCGTCTGACGAGAAGCCCCCCCTTTTCCCCCCCGTAACCCCCTTTTACCCGTGGATCAAGCTGACCCCGCATCAGATTGGAGGCGAGCTTTCCGTCGATGAGCGTAACCTTCTCTCCGTTGCCTACAAGAACGTGGTCGGTACTCGCCGTGCCTCGTGGCGTATCATCTCCTCCATTGAGCAGAAGGAGGAGTCCAAGGGCTCTGAGCAGCACGTCTCGATCATCCGTGACTACCGCCAGAAGATCGAGACCGAGCTCGAGAAGGTCTGCCAGGATGTCCTCGACGTTCTGGACGAGTCCCTTATCCCCAAGGCCGAGACTGGCGAGTCTAAGGTCTTCTACTACAAGATGTGAGTCTTGGCTTCCAGGGAACGAACATTTACTGGCAGGTATAGAGAGAGCAGAGGCTGACTGTTGTACGAACTATAGGAAGGGTGACTACCACCGCTACCTCGCTGAGTTTGCCTCTGGCAACAAGCGCAAGGTCGCTGCCACCGCCGCCCATGAGGCTTACAAGGTGAGCTCTTCAAATTGCGTGCTATACTGGAGGACTTGCACTAATAATCATACAGAATGCTACCGATGTCGCCCAGACTGATCTTACCCCCACCCACCCCATCCGCCTTGGTCTCGCCCTGAACTTCTCCGTCTTCTACTACGAGATCCTGAACTCCCCCGATCGTGCCTGCCACCTTGCCAAGCAGGCGTTCGATGACGCCATTGCGGAGCTCGACTCGCTCTCGGAGGAGAGCTACCGTGACAGCACCTTGATCATGCAGCTCCTGCGTGACAACCTCACTCTGTGGACCTCTTCTGATGGCAACGATGCCGAGGGTGCTGCCCCCAAGGAGGACAAGCCCGAGGAGGAGACCGCCGCCGCCCCCGAGGACAAGGCCGAGGAGCCCAAGCCCGCTGCCCCTGAGTCCTAGAGGGGTGGTGTGTGTTCTTGTGTATCAAAAACAGTTGTGTCCCCGACGTGCCAGTTCAGGTGTGCGAATACTACCCGGAAACGCTTATGAAGGTCTGCTTTTAGCTGTGCGAAGGGTCTGGACCGGCACATATCTTCCACTTGTTCGGGATCCTGTGGGTCGGCCGGCGGAGTTTGATGTTTGGAGAGCGAAGAAAAGGGGCTGAGTGGAATTTACCTCTCTTTTATTCTCTCTTTATTCACCCCCAGCAAGATACAGTGTCTTATTTCAACTTTTTTATTCACCCCCACGCCCCTTTTCCCGATTTCCCCCTGCTGTTTCGCTCGTACGTGTTAAGAGCCTTAAGCTTTACAATATCTCAAATCAAAGTAACCAGTTCTCTCAATCCCATGCCCCGATACCTAGCGGGATTCGAATTATCAACGAATAACTGCTAGATCTTGTATTCTCCTCGAGAGCCGCGATCCCATTACTGCTACCACCGTTGGAAGTTTAACACCGCCGTAAAGATAAATAGCCGTCTTTACACGCTTACTGCCACCCACTGCCCATATAGAACATATACTACCTCATCACCTCCCAGTACTCGTTAACACTACGTCCCAAGATGAACATTTCATACATAGTAAGAGCCATAGACTTAGTAAGCGAATAACTGCGACAGCTTCTATAAGTACTAGCTGGAAATATATATGCTACCCACGCATATATGTACGGGAGAGATGAGCCATGCCCTATAAAAACCGTATAGGAAGCCAAATAGCGAAAGATAAATAATAATAATAAAAAAAAAAGACATTTTTATATGACGGATATACAAAACAGATGAGGACAAATGGACATGGTTTTATATAATGCATGTCAGGGCGCAAGCCGGTCTAGCAAAGATATGGAGTGGATGATTGAGAAGAGCATAGAAGAATTAATAGAC